CAGGTGTAAGGGCCAAACACTTGTGTGAGTCAAAGTTGTCCTTTATTACCAAGATTCAGAATCCTAGGAAGACAAGGAGATCATTCTCAAATCCTGTCTTACTTTAAGAGAGTTTCACAGAGTTTTTATGCCCTCCCTCCCCCAAAGTTACCATCTTCAGCAAATTTACTAAATATCGTCTGGCCCTCTGATCTCTAGCTGTAGGACTCATTGTTTGTCGCATTGCTAATCTGTACGCATTTCACCTGTGTGGTTTTTTTTTTTTTTTTTTTTTTGGAGACAGAGTCTCACGACGTTCCCCTGGGTAGAGGGCCGTGGCATCAGAGCTCACAGCAACCTCAAACTCTTGGGCGTAAGCAATTCTTTTGCCTCAGCCTCCCAAGTAGCTGGGACTACAGGCATCTACCACAATGCCTGGCTACTTACTGTTGCAGTTGTTGTTGTTTAGCTGGCCTGGACGGGGCTTGAGCCCGCCAGCCTCGGTGTATGTGGCCGGCTCCGTAACCACTGTACTACGGGTGCCGAACCTCACCTGTTGTTTTTTCTTCATCCCATGGTCATCCTGACCTTCATGGTGTTGGAACCAGGGGAGTACTGGTTGACATATTGATAACTAGTTAGATCATTAAATAACTTTTACAGGGATGAGGTTTGAGGCTGTTTCTCCTCTTACAGAAGAAGAAATCAAAAGGGAAGTAAAAAACTATCTTGAGTCAAATGAAAAAGTAAATACAACATACCAACTCTTATGGGATGCAGCAGTTTGATGAACGAAGTTTATAGTAATGCTTACACTAAGAAAAAAAAGATTTTAAGTGAACAACCTAACTTTATACATCAAGGAACTAGAAAATGAAGGAAAAAGTAAGCCCAAAATTAGCAGAGGGAAGGAAATAAAGATCACAGCAGGAATAAATGAAATACAGGTTTAAAAAAAAAAAAGCCAACAGAAAAGATCAATGAAACTAAGAGTTACATTTTTTGAAAAGATTAATAAAATCCATAAAATTTAGCTAAACTAAGAAAAGACTCAAGTAATAAAATTATAAATGAAAGAAGAAACACAAAAACATACCATAGAAATACAAAGAATGATAACACAACTATGAACAATTACGTGCCAACAAATTGGATAAACTAGAAGAAATGAATAAATTCCTGGAAACATGCAGACTACCAAGACTGATTGAATCATGAAGAAAAAGAAATTCTGAAAGGCTCAATCATGGGTAAGGAGATTGAATCAGTGACCAAACACACTCCAACACAGAAAACCCAGATTCTTAGGGCTTTGCTGGTGAATTCCACCAAATGTTTATGGAGCAATTAACACCAGTCCTTCTCAAACTCTTCCAAAGATTTGCAAAGGCGAGAACACTTTGAAATGCATTTTGTGAGGCCAGCATTACCCTGATAGCAAAGCCAGAGAAACACACTACAAGAAAAGGGAAATGCAGTAGATTCATCCAGAATCTATTCCAAAAATTTTTACTAAATATTAGCAAACCAAATTATTAACAAATCCAAAAATTCTCACCAAAATATTAGCAAACCAAATTCAACAGTGCCATGATCAAGTGGGTTTTATCTCTGATGACTTCCATGAGGTTGCAGCCCCTGTGGGTGTGGCCTGGAGGACAGCATAGGGCCCATCAGAGCTGGGCTTTAGTTTCTGGGGAAATCGCCCAACCGTCTGCCCGGTCCTTTCCTAGGCCTCAGTCCTGCTTCCCCAGCTTGTAGTGCTCATGTATGGCCACCAGGGGCGATATTTCCACCAAAGCTCAGCCTCCTTCCCGGCTGATGGCCTGGGGAAACTGGTGACCCCACTCACATTTGGGCAACTGACCTTCTCTAGGCCCCTGGGAGGGTGTTCAGGTCCGAGGTCCCCAAGGAAGCTCTGCACAATCCTCGCGCCCTGTTTCCCATGAGACCCACAATTCCCGCAGGAGTTCCTGCAGCCAGACTGAGAGGGCAACATATGGGTGTCCCCAGCAGAGCTCCCAGACTGGCCTAGTGGACAAGACCTGCCCTTCCCAGCTGTGGGCCCGTCGTGGGTGGAGAAGTGAGGGAGCACCTGGAGTTTTCTAGGGTTATGCCTGGGGTCTCCTACCCCCGGCAGCCGGTATAAGAGCCCTGGAAGGTTTGGATGATGACCCAGGGGTCTGGACAGCACTGGGGGTCTCAAACCCTGGCTGAGCCGACCTCCAGCTTCAGCACCTGTTGCTTCATTCTTCCCTTGAAGAACCCCCATGTGGAGTGGGGATCTTCGCCCAGCCTGGGAACAGTCCTGAGCCACCCTTGGCATGCAGGATATCCTGCCAAAGCCTACATCCTAACCCCCCATTCGAGAGTGGCAGTGCCTGCAGCTGTGGACACAGTGCCCGAGATGATTTATGAAGTAGGCCTGGCAGCCCAGCAAAGACTCAGCATGGAGGGGTGGGGGGCGCCGTTTTCCTCCCGCCATGCTGGCTTTGCTCACGACAGCTGCTCTGCCAAGCTCCTGCGCTCTGGGCCTCTGCAGCTGCCCACTGTGTCAGGTGGGGGCCACTTCAGCTGCTTATTCCTGAGAATGTTTGTGGCCACAGGTCCTGAGCCATTTCCACCTGCCCTGGCCTATGGGTGTCAGGCGGAGGGGGTCACCCACCTGCCTCTAGGAAAGGATCATGTATCCCTTCTGTTTGGCAGGAGATACAAAACATTCTGTTTTCATAAAATCTTGGGGGGTACTCTAGGTAGTTTTTCTTTAAGGCTCTTATTGGAAAAAACAAAATTTTGGCAGTGTAAAAACTCAGCCTTTGAAAATTGTTCTAGAAATTTCTTTGGCTGTGAATTGTCTGGGCCTGGCATGTGTTGCTGTGTTCTGCCTCAGTTTTCTCATCTCTCCAGTGGGAGAGTTTTCTCATCACTCCTGTCTCATCTGAGACCACACACATAAGGCACTCAGCACACTGCCTGCCCCCCTAGGCCCTTGGAGGTGCTGGGTGTAACCTTCTGCTCCCTTAGCAGGATGTCTGTGTGGTTCTTGTTTGGATCAGTGTGTTGGTGCCTGCCGCTTCCTTGTGGAGAATCCTCTTCCCCCAGTTCTCTCCTGTCCCACTCTGGACTCCTGCCCCCTCAGAGGGTAGCCTGAGTACACCTCCCTCTGTCCTGGGAGCCTGGCCAGCAGAAGGGGCCAAGGGCCAGCTGGACCCAGAGGAAAGAGTCTCAGAGCTGGCCTCTGCCACTTGGATCTCCAGGCCTGGGGCTGGGGAGGGCTGTGGGCCTAGAGGAGCCCCTGACCCCTGAATGAAACGTCAACCATGATTGGTTTGCAGCAGTTTTCTTCAAAGTGCATGAAAAGCAGAGTGTAGGAATACTCGGGAAACTTACAAAACTTCCATGAAACTACATTGCCAGGATTCTAGCCTGAAAGTGAATCTGCAAACAGAGAGGTGATAAGACCAGCCCAAGGTCACCCACGTTGGCAGTAGGATCCTATCTTGGCCTTCCTGACCAGAGCTGTGACCTCCAATACCAGGAGAGATAGTCTTTCTACCTGTTTGTACCTGAGAGGGTGCCAGTGCCAGGATCCTGGTGGAGGACAGACCCTACAGTGCTGACACAGCTAGAACCAGGCCCCCAGCAACCACCCCTTGTCCAAAGTTCAGGGCAGTTGTGCTGCCCACTTGTGTTTTGACAATTTTGCAACAGCTGCTGCTTGTCTTTGAGTTTAGGGCCAGGAGAGATGTGGGCTGCCTGGCTGCTGCCCCAGACTGCAGTGACTGCTGTATCTCCTGCCCATGTACCCCCACACCCAGGACTCCTAGGTGGACTCAAGCCAAACTCTTTCTTCACCCTCTCTAACCCATTCTTTATCCTTCTGAGTGAGCATGGCCCTATCCAGGCTGCTGGGCCAGGCTGAGCCATTGGAAGAGAGGCCAGGCCAGTCTCTCCTGCCCCAAGACCCCCACACCACCCCAGGGAGGTCTTGAACTGGCAGGGCAAGCTTTCCCCAAAGGGCTCTGGGGAACAAGCAGTGGTCTCTGCTCTCAGGGCGGCACATGGGCTGTCCCTCCTCCTCTTAGCACCTCCCCTGGGAGGCCCTCCTGGGCTCCCCTGCTCAGGAGCAGACCGATCACAGCCAGCCTGTGGCAGTCTGACCTCCCTCTGGATCTGCCTGCTTCCTGGACCCTGAGCTCTGTAAGGCTTCTTGCCGTGCTCTGTACACAGTAGGTGCTCAGGAAATATAGAGGATAGATAGCGTGGCAATAAGACACATGGCCCGAGTGCAAAAAGGAACAATTGCTTGACGGTAGGAATTACAGCAGTGTTCCTGCTAAGGTCGTTCTCTACTGGCAGCTGGCATATCATGTCATAATATGTTAACAGCCACAATTTCATTACCCCTTTCTTTGATGCAGTGGGGGAAGGGGGTTCTGTTTTATGTCAGCCTCTATTCTGACTCTTGGGACATTTTTTCCATACTTGTTCTTTCTGAGTTTCCTCGGGGCCCCTCCTTTGAGTGTCTGCCTGGTACTCGACACCTATCCTAGACCTGAAGTCAGACTGTAGCTTCTGCGTGGCCGGAGGCAAGCTGGTTCTCCTCTTTGGGCTCTGGTGGCCTTTTACATGAAATGGAGGCAGGAATCTCTGCCCTGGTGCAGGAAAAGAGCAAATGGCTCAGGGCCGCTGGCTAAGCGCAGGAGGGACGCAGGAGGAGCTCGGCAGGCTCAGGCAGGCAGGCAGGCAGGGTGCACGGTTCACCGGTTCACCGGTTCACCGCGGCAGCTCTGTGGCCGTTTTACAGGCAGAGGAATGAGTGTCAGATGGGGAGGTCGCCCAGGGTTGCTGCGGCTCAGGGTTCACAGCCCTGCTTTGCTGCGCTCAGGGGGTCCACTTGGGTGCTGCCCCTGCTGGCGGAGGAGCCTTGGTGGTGGGTGGTGAGTCCCCGCCCACATCTGGGCGGTGATACGCTTCTGGCTTTGAGGCCGGGGCTGGGGCTGCCCTGGGTTCCGGCCGGGCCGCTGCTTGGGAAGGAAGAAAGCGACCACAGCGCCACTGCCACGAGGAGGACTGGGCTCTGGCTGTCAGGGCCAAGGGGGCTGAGGAGGCCCTCCTGGAGGTAACCCCCGCTGTGGGCGGGGCCGGGACTGGCCGGGAGCTGGCGGAGCTGGCAGATGGTCTCTGCCTCTGGCTGCTGGGTCGAAGTGGGGGTGGGCAGCCAGGGCCTCAGAGCCCACCCTGCCCTCCCCCACAGGGGAAGGCTGTGCCAGAGACTTTCCTCACCTGACCCCTCACCCCCTGCAGCCTGCAAGAAAGGAGTGTCTGCGCTGCGAGGCTGAGGGTCTCCAAGGCCTCGGTCCTGTGACAAAGCCCCCACCCATCTGCCTGACCCCAAGCCAGGGCTGTCCAGTGTCCTCACTCCTGAGAGGCTGCCTCAGGGTCGGGGGGAGTTGGAGGGAATGGGAAAACAAGTTGGTGTTGAAGCAGCTGCTTCCAAGAGGTGGGAGGAGCTTTGGGGCTGCCCTGCCTGGGGCAGCTGCCAGTCCCCAGCCACAGCCCCAAGGCCAGGAGAGCCCATGGATCAGCAGGCAGGAGGGCTGCATGGCAGCTTCCCAAACCAGCTGTGTTCATGCTGTGCATAGCTGAGATGTGGGGGGAGCATTTGCCCTGGGGCAGACCAGGTGTGCTGAGCCCTGGGCAGTGCCTGGTGGGGGTGGGGGCAGGGGCCAGCCTCAGAGAGCCTTCCTCAGCCACCATGTCCTGCCAGCTTTCCCCCACTAGGACATCACTGTTGGGGGTCCTGGAAGACCAAGGACCTTCAAGCACTGAAGGTGAGCACAGATGCAGGCAGGGCAGCCTCCTGGGCCAGGGCCACCTGTGTGGGCAGCTGTCAGACTGTAGGTGAAGGGCTGCTGAGAGCAGGAAGCTGGGGACAGACTCCTGCCAGCACCCTTCTGGAGCCCCTCCCCATGCCTCTGGATCACAGCCACCTTCCACGGGGGGCAAGTGGTGCTGGGCAGGGATGGGGGACACTGGAAAGGGGTGGGGCAGCATATTCAGCCTGAGAACCGGCCCCTCCCACATCCCCTGGGAAGGGAATCTGCATGTCTGCTGCTGCCAGCAAGGGCTCGGGCAGTGCCCACAGTGCAGGTGGGACAGGGTGTGCCAGCAGATCCCCAGCTTCACACATCCAGGCCAGGGTGGTCAGAGGGGCTGGCAGGCTGTGTGGCCTGTGGATTTACACGGGCCTGGCCTTGTGCCCCAGTGCATGCTGGCCACTTGAGGGAGCCTCTCCCTGTGACAAAGAGATGCTGACCAAGCTGCCATCAGAGTGGGCTGCAGGTGTCAGGGAGCCACGCTTGGAAATAGAAGCCAGCTTTCTTAATGGGTTGACTAATTTACATCAGTAGTGACTATTTGTTTGGGTGGCACATCCACCTTGGCACCTTGGATCACAGCCACATCCTTCTCACTTGTCCTGCTGACCCCATAGAAGGGCAGGGAAGCCCCTTTGAGGCATCTTTTCCTCCCTAAGTTGGAGGAAACTCCCCAGGGGACACCCCTCTGTACCTTCTCTCCTTAGCCAGCAGCTCCCTGCTGCATTCTTCTCCTTAGACTTTTCCATCTGGGGAGGTCTGGGAGGGCTTCCTGGAGGACGAGGGAAAGGGATGAGGACACTGAAGGAAGAAGGCCCTAACCCAGCTTCCCAGCAGGCTCTCATGGTGAAGGGGACCTGGATTTTATCAGCTTCCACTTTGGGACCCAGGGGCTTTGGATATGATGAGGCAGAAACAACTCACTGGGCTTGGGAGGGGGCTGCCCTGGGGGAAAGTGCTGGATCCAGGCTTGGGGATTGGGTATCCTGTCTCAAGGTTGCCTGCCAATGCCCTGTGACCACCTGCTCCCCTATCTATGCTACCTGTCCCTCCTCCTGCTCGCCCTGTGTGTGCAGGTGACACTTTCCCCTCACTAAAGCCCCCAGCCCTGCCCTAGTGTACTGCCCACCTCTCCTTGGGGGCTCCTACCTCCCATTCCTGCCCCCAACCTGCAGCCCTGTGGGTCACAGGCACCTTGGGAGCATCTTGACACCCTAGGGTTGGCAGGACAGACATCCTCTGCACTCCAGCCACCCCTGACATCTTATCATCTGCAGTCTGGGGGCTGAGTGCCCTTGTCTGCTGATCTTGGTCCTCTGTCCTGGGCCCCCTCCATCCTCCCTGCCCTCTCTCATTGGGTGGCCCCACTCCCTCAGGTGTCACACTGAACATCTACAGACCACACAGGCCCTCTTTGGTGTCTCCCCTGGTGGCCTCAGCTTTCATCTCACTGTCTTCTCTGGGGGCTGGCAGAGGCTGCCCCCACCAGTCATCTCTGGGCCCAGCCAGGGCCTACTGTATACCAGGTCCTCAATATGTACATGCAGAATCAATGAATGAGTGAATTAAATATTAATGAAATGTGGGAGGCAGCAGAAGGGAGCCCCATATCACCCAGGGGCCGATATTCCCCTGGGTACTCACTGAGCACAGACCCCATTCTGTCCCCTCTGTGCCCACCCAGCCTGGCTCTCCCTAGCTCCCTGTGGTCCTGCAGCCTGGAGTTCCCATGGCCTCACTGAGCCGAGCCCTGCGTGCAGCCACTGCCTGCCCTCGCTGGAGCCCTGTCCAGGGCCTGGGGCTGCGCTCCCTGACCAGCGTAGATGGCCCCACGGCTGAGAAGAGTGTGCCATATCAGCGGACCCTGAAGGAGGCACAAGACCCCTTGGCAGTGACCCAGGGCCCCAGCCAGCCTCTGCCCAGCACAGCCAACGTGGTAGTCATCGGTGGAGGCAGCTTGGGCTGCCAGACCCTGTACCACTTGGCCAAGCTGGGCGTGAGTGGAGCAGTGCTTCTGGAGCGTGAGCGGCTGACCTCTGGGACCACTTGGCACACTGCGGGTAGGGGCCCGGGGCTGGCAGGGACAGAACTCATCTAGGCACCTTGGCTTGCCACATCAGGCCTGGGTCAACAGCCATAAGCCTATTAGAGGCAGCTGAGTCAGAGGGGAGAGACCACCTAAGAAAGATGTGTAGCCGGTTTGAAGGCCAGCAGATTTGGGGGACTACTTGTCCCCAAGTCTCTGCAAAGCCATGTGGGTAGATGCTGCCCATGTGGCCCTTGAGGGTGAAGCTGGAGCCAGAAGCCCCAGGCAGTTGTCTGCCAAAAGAGCAGAAGCCCCTTTTCTGGATGGACCATAGGGATGAGGGTGTCCTGTGACCAGCAATAGACAGGCAGGGCCACCAGGGATGATGCAGATCTGTCTTCCTAATTAACCAGTAGGCATACATTAAGCACCTATGGTGTGCATGTCCCCGGGACAGCCAGCCTTCTACCTTACCTGTTCTAGCCAGGGCATCCTATAAACTGGCTCTCCTGATTTGCCGTATCAGCGCATTCCTGGGGTATAAACACCACCCCTGCCCTTGGCCAACATCGAGCTCCCAGTGTGAGGTCACTGGCGCTGGAGCTGGGAAGAGGCGCACGCCCACTTGTGAGAGAGACAGGAGCCAGCTCCTACAGGCTACTGCCTCTAACCTTTGCTGCACTCAGTGTAGCCACATCCCATCTCTTGCTTCTAAGACTCAGCCACTAAATAGGGCAGCCTTTATTGTGAAGAGTACCAAATGTGAGCTGTGTCCTGGCTCCACCACTCACCTGCTCGATGACCTCTGGTCAGAGTTCCTTCGTGCCACCTTAATTTCATCTATAAAATAATCATGCCCCTTATAGGTTCAGTGATATCACCTGTGACCAGTCTCAGCACTGGGTTTGGCACAGAGCAGGTGCTCAGTAAATGGGAGCTTTGACATTGGAGCTGGGGTCACCCAACATTCGTTTTTGGCCCAGTCATTTCCTACTCAGCACCCCTCCTGGCTTCCCACAGCCTGCAGAGAAAGACCCTAGCACCGCCTGACATTCTGCAAGGGGGTGGGGAAGGGGTGCAGCTCCCTTGCCAGGGACTGGGGACTGACGGGGTCCCGCCTCTCCGGGGCCAGGACTACTATGGCAGCTGCGGCCCAGCGACGTGGAAGTGGAGCTTCTGGCACACACGCGGCGCTTAGTAAGCCGTGAGCTGGAGGAGGAAACCGGGCTGCATACGGGCTGGATCCAGAATGGGGGCCTTTTCATCGCGTCCAACCGGCAGCGCCTGGACGAGTACAAGAGGCTCATGTCGGTGGGTGCACTCCCTGGGGAGCATGGTGCAGGGAAGGAGCCCCAACAGGTGACAGATCTGGATTCCACCCCCAGCACCCTCACTGGCTGGGACACCTGGAGCAAATGACTTTGCCACTCTTTAACTAGAATTCCCAGACACTGAAGAGAAGCTGATTGGCTGAGCTCTCCCTAATTAGGCGGAGCCTGTCCTGAAGGGCCGCGCCTTAAGGCGTTGATTGGCTGTGATTGGGCCAATCAAATGTGGCTGAGGGGTGGTCTGCGCAGACCTGGTTTGGTTTCCCCCGGGGGAGTTAGCTGGTCTGACTGGGGAAACCTGATCTTCAGATCCAAAATATTAGGCCTCGAGGGGTATTTATTTTTATACAACAAACCCTTTGTGCCAAGTACTGGTCTAAGTTCTTTGTCGATGACATAAATACTGAAGAGGATTTAAACAATTTGCCCGGGTCACACAGCTGGTGTCAGGGCCGGATTGGATCTCGGAGGGGTCTGGCTCCTGCCCCTTAACCCTGAAGCTGGAGCAGACTCAGGAACGGGGCCCACAGGTCGCGGGGATTGGCTAAGGCTTCTGGGAGGAAGTAGGGCTGGAGTTGGGCCTTAGGGCCCATCGGAGAAGGGGAGTGTACTGGAATTCTGCTCCCCTCCGGCTGTTAATCTCCTCTGGACCGCCCCAGTTGGGCAAGGTCTATGGCGTGGAATCTCATGTGCTGAGCCCCGCGGAGACCAAGGCGCTGTACCCACTGATGAATGTGGACGACCTCTATGGGACTCTGTACGTTCCGCATGACGGTACCATGGACCCTGCTGGCACCTGCACCACCCTCACCAGGGCAGCCACTGCCCGAGGAGCACAGGTACCAATGACTGCTGGGCCTGTGTCCCTGCTCCCAGCCCACCTCTCCGGCTTAGAAACCTCGAGAGCAGAAGGCAAGAAAGTGGGCGCCGTTCTCTGAGCACTGTGTGACTTTGGGCCAGTTAGGACCTCTCTGAGCCTTCTGATCCACTCCAGGCTGTGCCTGGAATCTGTTTGGAGACAACATTCCCTGTTGGCAGTGCACCCCCTTTCCACCTCCTTCCCTTGAGGTTCTGACTCTGCTGCACAAGTGAATCTGCTCAAAAATCCCTTCTTGTAATTTCATCTTCTTTGAATTACATAAGTAGTTGTAGAAAAAAAATTAAAGTAAGCAAAAAAGAAGTGAAAATCAACCAGCAGCCAGTGTTGACATTTTAGTTTACTCCAGATATTTTTTCCTATGGAGATATATGTATGCTAAATAGAACAAAGTGCTACTTTGTTTTGGAAACTTTTTTTTTTTTAACCAAACATCAAATGGCTTGCTTAAAGGAAGTAAACCAGCTACTTTTTTGCATAATGAAGAGTCCATCCAATTTGTGGCAAATTCCCCCAAGTCAAAGGATGGGCGGATTTTAGTTTTCTGGTGCTGTGTTTACCCCATTTGCCTGACAGTATCCCACGAGCCCTGTTGCTAAAAGAAAGTGTCCTGGGATCTCATCCTGGAGGGGAGGTTGGTTGACAGTAGGTGGTCAGCATCCCTGAGGGAGCCCAGTGTGGCTCACAAGTACTCCCTCTTGATCCCAGGTCATCGAGCACTGCCCAGTGACTGGCATCCGTGTGCGGACAGATGACTTTGGTGTGCGGCGGGTCATGGCTGTGGAGACAGAGCATGGCTCCATCCAGACACCCTGTGTTGTCAACTGTGCAGGTGGGAATGGCATTTCTCCTGACTCCCAGATGGCCTGTCCCCTGAACCTGGTCCCATTTCTTCAGGGCCTCTCTGAGTTAAGGAGTCCCTACAAGGTAGACAGGTCTGCAGAAGTGCCCTCTGCTCCCTGGAAGTCTCCCCAGGTGTCAGCAGAGCTGAGCTGGCTGTGTTCTATCTGCAGGAGTGTGGGCAGGTGCTGTGGGTCAGATGGCTGGAGTCAAGGTCCCCCTGGTGGCCATGCACCATGCCTACGTTGTCACTGAGCGCATCCAGGGGATCCAGGTAGGTGAAAACAGCCCCAGGTTGTGTCAGGCTGGGCAGGTGGTGGTAGTGGTGGTACAGGGATGGCCACATACAGGTGGTGTAAACCTCCTGGGTTTCCTCCCACACAGAGGTCCTGAGCCTCAGTTACTTCATCTGTGAATGGATAGAGGGAGGGATGAATTGATGGCCAGAAGGATGGTAGACTGGTGGATGGTTGCATGGGTGGATAAATAGATGAATAAATGGATGGATACACGGAGGGAGTGACCAAGGGGAGAACAAACGAATGGAAGGCGAGATGGATGGGTGAAGGAAATTCATGGAAGGGTGAATCCACGGAGGGAGAGAAAGATGGGGAAGGAGGAATGTGGGAAGAGAGATGGTTGGAGAGAGCGAGGGCTGGGCAGAGAGAGGAATAAGCAAGGGGTAGTTGTATGATGGATGGAGAAGAGAGGGTGGCCAACCACTACGGGGCAGGAAGCGCCTACCCACCACCACAGCAGAGAGGAGTTGAGGAGGATGGGAGAGGGAGAGGGAGAGGGAGAGGGCAGGAGATGCCCAGCTTTGTGTGCCAGCAGGTGCACCCAGGGCCCCCGGCCTCCCTAGGGAGAGGGCTCTCAGAGAGGTTCCGAGTGCCAAGAATCAGCAGCCTCTGAGACAGGCTGGCACATTTGGGAGCCTGCAGACATTTGGGGAGTCCCTGAAATTCCTGGGTACAAGAACGAGGCAACAAGTGAGGCTGGCTGCAGCCTGCAGGACAGGCTCGGCAACTGTGGTTTGGACGTCATCAAGGAGCCACACCCTTGACGTCCAGGAGCCAGCCCCAGGGGTCTCTGTTTATCATGCTTCCATCATTGGTCCGGTTACTAACCTGTCTACCCACGTTCATCCAACGTTCCCTCCCGGCGCTCCCCGGCCATGGTAGATGGGGTTTGCTCCCTGTTCCAAGCCCAGTTCTAGAAATCGTGGCCATAAGAGACGATGAGAGCTAGGTGAGGGATAGACGAGTAAACAGGCAACTTCAAATCGTGCTGCTGGGGGTCCTGACCAGTAAGCATTTCTGCAGGGACGCTCAGAACTAGGGCCAGAGAAGGCTCCTGAAGGAGCAGCCAGGACTGAGGCTGCAGGGTGGGGACAATGTGAGAGACTGCCCTTGCTCGGGTCGGGCCCAGCAAAGCGGGGTGTCTGGACCCGCAGCCCAGCCGGAGTCCCATGCGGTGCGGGGCAGCAGCCCATCCCCCCACGCTCGAGCCTGGCTTCCCTTCATTCTCTGCTGAGACACAAAGCTTGGCCTCTGCGCGACCAGAACGGTGGAGAGAGGGCAGGTGGGGTGGGCTCCTCCCCTGCACACGATCCCCGTCATAGACCGAGTCCGACGTCCAACAGATATCTGCCAAGGGCTGCGGGCCACCGGAGTGGGGGTTCTGTGGGGCAAACAGCGAGGACGCCATGCTGGAGGCTGAGCACCGGGGTCTCCGCGGGTGGTGGGGACAGCCGCTCCCCCGGGTGGCCGCCAGGGGTCGCCTTCAGACCGCAGTGTGCTCTGGGGGCGGGGCGGGGGCTGCGTCCCAGTACCCGGCTGCGGGGAGCGTGGCCGCGGTGTCCACCGAGCTCGGACTGCGGCTGAGTCCCCGGCCTGACTCCTAACACCGCCTCGGAGGCGCCTTTCAGGAGGGAAGCCAGGGTCAGCCTGGGCCTCTGGGGCCGCCCCTCCCGTAAATCTCAGAGTCCAGCAAGCTGGGGGTGTGATTACGAAGCCCACTGGCCTGCGAGGCAGCAGGGGGCCGCGCTGGCGGGAACCTCGGACGCTCACTGGTCCTGCTGGAACCAGCGTCCGGAGCGTCGCTGGCCGCCAGGAGTCCCCACTGCTCTGCTCTCCGGCTCTCTGAGCTCCCTTTGTTTGGCTTTGAGACCAGTGTTTTTCAACTTTTTAAAAAATCTTAACTGTCAGCACGCTTGAACCTACAAACTTAACACGGCCCACTGAAATTACGTTGATAAAAAAAAGAGTAAGAGAAAAAAAAGAATAGATTTGCTGTGCTTTGAACTTTTTAAAAAATAATGTAATGAATGATCTTTAAAAATTTTTGCAGCACAACTAAGACCCGGCATGGCCCAGCGGGGTTGAAATCACTGCTTTAGACAGCGGTGCGGGCAGAGGTAGTGATGTGATTGCTACTATTCTAAACTGGGGCTGCTCAGTGACCCGGAGCCCCTCTGAGCCTCCCACGGCAGCCCCTCAGCGCTCCCTCAGCGCCATGCCCTTCTTCCAATCCTGCAGATGAGCAGGGCCCTGGGAAACCGGAGGGGCCATCTCAGGGCAGCTTCTGCGCTTCTGTGCTTCTGCCCTTGGAGATGGGACGGGGTCACACTGTGTGCCTTCTTCTCTAGGGCAGAGTAGGAGAGGGTGGGGTTGAGAGAAGGCAGCTCCCCACTCGCAGAGGAGCTTCTCCCCACTCTGCTTGCCTTCTAAGTCGTCTGGTTCTGTTTGTTTATTGTTAAATCAGTTGGTGCAGTATGTGACATTACGGCTATGAAAGTGTTCACTCCTGAACAAGCAGTGCCCAACTTTATGTGTTTCTTGGAGTTTCTAAGTTGCTCAGTTTCCTGTGTACCTATTGTGTGTGCACGGGACATTTGTACACTCTGTGTAATGTTATCCTCATCCCCCAAACCCACCCCGTCCCCCACTTCCCACTCATCTCCGGCCTCCAGGCATCACTGATGTGATTCCTGCCTCCATGGATCTTCCTGTTCTGTGAGATTTAATGTAAGTGGGATCACACAGTGTGGCTGGCTCTTCCACTCAGCGTATGTCCAGTTCATCACACAGAGAGGGTGTCGGGGCTCCACTCCTTCTGGTGGCTGAGGAATATTCTGATGTATAAATATACCACATTTTCCTCATCCATCCATCCATCGATGGGCATCTAAGTTGTGTCCACTGTTTGGTTCTTATGAATTGTGCTGCTATGTGTGAATACATAGATTTTTGTGTGGATATATGTGCGGATTTTTCTTAAGCATCTCAATTCCAAAAACCCCAAATCCAAAATGCTCCAAAATCCAGACCTTTCTGAGCACCAACATGATGCTCAAAGGAAATGCTCCCTGGAATATTTCAGATTTTGGCTTTTCAGATTTGGTATGTTCAAGTGGTAAGTATATAATACAGATATTCCAAAATATGAAAAAATCCCAAATCCCAAACACTCCTGGTCCCAAGCATTTCAGATAAAGGATTCTCAGCCTGTACCTACAGGTGGGGTTGTTGGGTCATGTGGCAACTCTGTATTTGTTTCGAGAAGCTGCCAGATTGTCCTCCAAAGCTGCAGACCATCCTACATTCCTACCAGTGGAACGTGAGGTCCAGCCTCCCCACATTCACACCAGTTCTTGTTATGGTCTGTCTTTTTTCTTCTGGTCATCCTAGAAGGTGTCCAGTGGATCTCATGATTTCGATTTGCATTTCCCTGATGGCTAATGATGTTTTCCTTCCTGTATTTATATCTTCTTTAGAGAAATGTCTCTTCTACTCAGATCCTTTCTGCCCATTTTTAAATAGAGAAGCTTGTTTTTTATTGAGTTTGAGAGTCCTTTATACTGTCCTTTATCAGATATATGACTTATAAGCATTTTCTCCAATTCTGTGGACTGTCTCTTCATTTTCTTTACTCGTTCACAGCATGAGTTTTAAATTTTAGTGATGCCCCATTCATCTCTGTTCCCCCCCGCTTTGTTGTTTGCACTTTTGGTGTCATGTTCAAGAAGATAACAGTAGAACCTCTCTGTAAGGCGATCACCCAAGGGACAGTAACAAAGTGGTCAGCACATGGAGGTGGTCAACATAAAGAACTAGGCCTACTGTACTGGTACGTACATGTGGTGCATGTCTGGCTGGTACATACACGTGGTGCCTGTCTGGCTGGTACATACACGTGGTGCCTGTCTGGCTGGTACGTACATGTGGTGCCTGTCTGGCTGGTATGTACTGTGGTGCATGTCTGGCTGGTAAGTACATGTGGTGCCTGTCTGGCTGGTACATACACGTGGTGCCTGTCTGGCTGGTACATACATGTGGTGCCTGTCTGGCTGGTACGTACATGTGGTGCCTGTCTGGCTGGTATGTACTGTGGTGCATGTCTGGCTGGTATGTACTGTGGTGCCTGTCTGGCTGGTACGTACATGTGGTGCATGTCTGGCTGGTATGTACCGTGGTGCCTGTCTGGTCTATGCACAGTAAGTCAACTTAAGGAGGTGGGTAGTGTAGGCAGGTGGTCAACTATGGAAGTTCCACTGCATTTTCTAACCCAAGACCATAGAGCAGGGGTCCTCAAACTTTTTAAACAGGGGGCCAGTTCACTGTCCCTCAGACCATTGGAGGGCCGGACTGTGGGCCCCAGGATGAGTCTGCTGCTAAGCAGGACAGGCAGCGGCAGCAAAAACACCCGACGGGCCAGATAAATGTCCTAGGTGGGCTGCATGTGGCCCGCAGGCCGTAGTTTGAGGATGCCTGCCATAGAGATTTACTCCTAATATCTTCTTCTAAGAAATTTTTAGCTTTAGCTCTTATCATCATGTCTGTGACCCATTTTGAGTTAAATTTTGTGTGTGATGTGAGGACAGGGTCCAACCTCCTTCTTTGCATGTGGCTATCCAATTGTCATAGCAACATAGGTCTTGGCACTTGCGTTGGAAATCAGTTTGCCATCAATATGAAGGTCTGTTTCTGGACTCCCAATTCTATTCCACTGGTCTAATGCCTGTCCTTGTGTCAGTTCCACACTGTTTTGTCTACTGTACCTTTGCAGGAAGTTTTGAAATTACCAGTGTGAGTCCTTTAGCTTTGTTCTTCCTTTTAAAGATTGTTTTGAATATTCTGAGTCCCTTGCATTTCCACAGGAATTTCAGAGCCACTTTCTGCAGGGAGGCCAGCTGAGGTTTTGATAGGGAGTGTGTGTGTTATCAAATTGGGGTGTGTTGTCACCTTAACAATAAGTAGCAAGTGTTCGATTTCATGAACATGGGATGTCTTTCCATTTATTTAGGTCTTCTCTAATTTCTTTCAAAAATATTTTCTGATTGTTAGAGGGCAAGTTTTGCATTTCTAAATTTATTCCTACGAGTATTATTATTTGTGATGATAATGTAAATGGAATTTCACATTGTTCAATGCTAGTGTGTCAAAATGTTAGAGTTTTTTGCTTGTTTTGTTGTATATTGACTTTGTGTTCTGCAACTTCATTGACCTGTTTTATTAATTCTAACAGTTTTTTAAGTGGGGTCCTTAGGATTTTCTAAACACAAGATCATGTTGCCTGCAAATGGAGATATTTTTACTTCTTTTCCAGTTTGGATGCCTTTTACTTTTGTTTCCTAACTGTTGCCCTGGCTAGAACCTCCACTATAATGTTGAGCAGAAGTGGTGAGAATGGACATCCTTCTCCTATCCCTGATCTCAGAGGAAATCAGTCAGTTTTCTTCTGCTAAGTAAGGCATTAGCTATGGGTCTTTATAGATACCCTCTGTCAGGTTGAGGAGTTCTTTTTTTTTTTTTTTTT